GGACCAGTTCTCTCTTTATAGATGAAGGAGGCAAGAAGTTTCATCTCTTGCCTACAGACCCAACAGCAAGACATAAGGCTGAAATTAAACCAGTGTGTCTTCTGACTTTAGAACTTAACCATGCTGGACACACTGTTGACACTTCCAAAATCATGCAGAGAAGTTCCCTGGTACTTGTCACATGGTGGTTATTCTATAAATGTCCCATTGAGGAGAGAAGTCTTAATTTGTTGAACTGTGTTCTTGTGACCACATGGTTTTCAGACCTGAAATAAGTTTTATTCACAACTGTAATACTTTCAACAGTATAGATTTTAAAAAAAGCTGCCTTGGACTAGAGCATCTTCTCTCTGTAAAAAAAATCAATAAAATATATAAATATTTTTTAAAATTATACCACAGACTATAATAATCAAAACAGCATGATATTGCCGTAACTGGTTTGGCTCACTGGATAGCGTTGGCCTGTGAACTGAAAGGTCCCAGGTTCAATTCCGGTCAAGGGCATGTACCTTGGTTGAGAGCATGACTCCAGTGGGGGGTGTGCAGGAGGCAGCTAATTGATGTTTCTCTCTCATTAATGTTTCTAGCTCTCTATCTCTCTCACTTCCTCTCTGTAAAAAATCAATAAAATATTTATTTAAAAAAATAAACAACATGGTATTAGCAGAAAAACAGACATACAAATCAATAGAACAGAATTGAGAGCCCATGTAGATGGGCAGATTGTTGTTTACAGCAGAGCCAGAAACACACAAATACAATAAAATTTTGTTCAATTTTCTTTATCTGTCTGCTAATAATAGTAGTCATAATAATTATATTTGCTATTTGGGTTTTTCTTAAACCTGTATATAGCACAACTGTTAATAATTGCTAAAGGTGTTTACAATAACTTTTGCCTTATCAATAATACACTTTTTATGGTTTCTCTTGAAATATAGAAGGAATGTTATTTCAAAAGGAAAGAAAGGGCCAAGACCGGTTTAGCTCAGTGGATAGAGCATCAGCCTGTGGACTGAAGGGTCCTGGGTTCATTTCCGGTCAAGGGCATGTACCTTGGTTGTGGGCGCATCCCCAGTGGGGGACGTGCAGGGGGCAGCTGATCAATGACTCTCTCATTGATGTTTCTATATCTCTATCCCTTCCTCTCTGTAATAAATTAATAAAATATATTAAAAAATAAAAGGAAGAAAAGGAATGTGTGTGTTTTTAAGAGAAGTTGAAATAATTTGTTCTGATAATTTGGTTATTTCTGAATTAGTAAAAGGAGACCAGTTAAGAAGAACCATAGAATTTGTAGAAGGTTAGTGAAAAAAGGATATTGAGAAATGAATTTTATGTATAAACTAGAGGCCCAGTGCATAAAAATTCATGCACATTGGTGGTGGGGGGAGCCCTCAGCTCAGCCTGTGCCCTCTTGCAATCTGCAAGCCCTCAGGGGATATCCAACTGAGGCTTAGGCCTGCTCCCTGGTCTGACCTCCCTCTCTCTGCAGGAGGTAACCAGCAGGCTGATCAGGAGAGGCACCGACATAAGTGGCTAGCCCCCCGCCATCACCCCTCTACTGCTGCTGGTTGTCACAATCTATCACCATCCCCTTCCTCTGTCCAGTGGCCTGGCCCTGCCCCCGTCATTCTGCTGTTCTGTCAATTTGCATATTAATGCTTTTATTATATAGGACTAGAGGCCCGGTGCATGACATTCATGCACTGGAGAGGGGATCCCTCAGCCCAGCCTGTGCCCTTTTGCAGTTTGGGAGCCCTCAGGGGATGTCCAACTGCTGCAGAGGTGGTAGAAGAGGCTCCCACCACCGCCACTGCACTCACGAGCCGTCAGCCTGGCTTCTGATTGAGCAGGGCTCCCCCTGTGGGAGCACGCTGATCACCAGGGGGCAGCTGCTGTGCTGAGTGTCTTTGCCTGGTGGCCAGTGCGTGTTATAGCAACTGGTCATTCCAGCATTTGGTCAATTTGCCTATTACCCTTTTATTATATAGGATTCAAGAATCTAATTATGAGAATGTGCTTACTCCCTTCCCAACAAGGACTACTAAATATAATTCAGATGAAAGTTGAGGTAACTATTAATATATGACTCTCTATAACTGCTGCTAATGCACAAGAAATTTACTTAAGAAACGCCTTCTGACTTGTATACGTGCATATAAGTACAACCAATGGACATAAAACTCTGGGGAGGGAGGGTATCTATGGGAGGGAGGGGGGCAAAAAAAATCAATAAAATATATATATATTTTTTTAAAAAGCCTTCTGTCTCAGGAAATTTTTATATGGTAATTGTAATTTACACCATTGTGTTCTTACAGCCTTGGCCTCAATTAAACCTGAAGGTTATATTAGGTCTAGTAATAATTAATGTCGTTTTCTAATACTTTTTTAAATCGAATTTATTTAAACAATACAATAAAATTTAATCAACAATATAGTTGCCGTTGTTTTCTACTACTTGTGCCCAACGCTCAGGAAGCATTTTAATCCCTCTGTTGTAAAATTCTTGTGATTTTGATGCAAAAAATTTGGTCAATGCATTTTTGAGGCATTCTTCATTAAATTTTTTTCCAAGAAGAAAGTTTTGCAAAGAACGAAACAAATGGTAATAGGAAGGGGCAATATCAGGAGAATATGCAGGTTGAGGGAGAACTTCCCATTCCAACTGGCACAGTTTTTCAGCAGTGATTCTTGCAGTATGCGGTCGTGCGTTATCGTGGTGAAGAATTACGCCCTTCTGATTAATCAGCACGGGTTCTTTTTCTCTTAAAGCTTGGGCTAACCTTTCCAATTGGGCACTATACACTGCACTTGTAATGGTTTGGTTAGAATTTAGGGGTGTTGAACTCAATCAGAGAAGGGGCCAAAATCTAAAATCCAGCCTAAATCGTGGGCTGAATGGTTTACTGAACAGTCATAAACTGTCATTGTGATGGAAACGCAGCGGAGTGCAGTGATGACAGCGCGGTGCGGGCCACATTGCAAGGCTGGTGGGGCGGATTTGGCCCGTGGGCCTTTTGTTTGACACATGTGGGTTAGATGGTAAAAGTTCATAATGAAGAATTCCTTTAAAATTCCACCAAACACACAACATCACTTTTTTCGCATGCAAGTCAGGTTTTGGCGTGGGCTGCGGAGCCTCATTTTTGTCCAACCATTGAGGCCGCCTTTTCAAATTAACATACAGCACCCATTTTTCATCTCCAGTAAAAATTTGCTCTAAAAACAGCAAACGGTTTTGACGAGAGAGGAGCGAACTGCAAATTGTGACTCTTTGATTACGGTTGTTGTCGGTCAACTCATGAGGAACCCATTTTCCAAACTTTTGGACTTTGCCAAGTGCACGCAATTGATTGGAAATTGTTTTTTGTGAACAATTTAAAGTTGTCACAAGCTCTTGTTGGGTAATTTGAGGATTTTGCACCAAAAGAGCTTGACGAGCTTCTTGATCAAAATTGGACACATGGCCTCGACCACTCTTGTCATCTAACGAAAAATTTCCCTCGCAAAATTTCTCAAACCAACGCTGGCATTTTCTGGCGCTAACTGCATCTTGACCAAGAGCACTACAGATGTTTTTTGCAGCCTCACTTGCTTTTCTTCCTAATTGGAACTCGTAAAGCATGCAGTGCCGAATATGCTCTTCATCTGCCATCTTCTTAGCCCTAGATTTGCAACAAAAACCAAACCAAACACAAACTTTTTCAAGCAAAACTTGTTAATTGCACTTCACACGTTCTGTAGATACCACGTGTTTGAAGGTTATGTCAATACAAGTCAACGCCAAGCAAGATTTTACATTAATTATTACAACTAGTAGCAGAAGTGAGATTAATAATGGTGCTTGAGCCCTAGCTGGTGGTTCAGTGGTCAGAGCATCAGCCTGCAAACTGAAGGGCCTTTCAGCCCGGGGTCCAGGAGCTGCAGTTAGTCACAGGTGGCAGTTGACTGCCCAGCCCTGGCTCTGCTGGGACTGCAGATTGTATGAAAAGTGAGTAAACTGGCTGGGCCACAGAGCCAGGAGCGCTGGGAGCTGACAGGTGACCAGGACAGCACTGATTGCAGGGAGGGAGAGCGGGTGTGGTGAGTGCTGTTGCAGGAGTCTAAGGCTGAGACTTACTGGCAGGAGCATGGCGAGCAACCCACCAGCATCCCAGCTGGGAAGTTAGCCCGATCTGATTCTGTGGGAGCGCACCGCCCATTGGACCTCAGGGGCAGTGGAGGGGTCAGACAGGTACTCCGTTCAGTGACCCGAAGGTCCCTTTGCTCAGAGGAACTTCCAGAAGAGCCAGCTGGGGGCTGGACAGAGAGGCCCACCTCAGGAGCAGGGGAGGCCACCTTTCCACACCCTGTGGGAGCGCTGGTTCTGCCTGACCCTGCAGTGACCTGAGGCAAAGGGGACAGGCTCTGGGCTGGAAGTCGGCACCTGCACCCCGTCCTAGAATTGCAGGAAGTCAGACATTTGGTCTGTCAGAGCCTGGGAGGAGGCCCTACCCAGTGGGGCCACCAGCACTGAAAAAGTGGCGTGCCAAGAGAGGCTTCTTTATTTTTTTATTGTTTATTTTTTTGGTTAATCCTCACCTGAGGATATTTTTTTTCATTGATTTTTATTTTTTTAAGCTTTTCATTTTAATTAAATATTCAGAATAAATGTTGATTAAATAAGTTTGCACTTAACAGTTAAATATTTAGAAACAATAATTCTCTCAATTGTTTTATCTCTCCCTCTCCCTTCCTCTCTCTGAAATCAATGTACTAAATTAATAAGTTTTACTTTATTACTTATGCAAACAATATAAATAAGAGTGTTGGTTAATGGTAAAAGGATGTCAATTGCCCAATAAATCTGAAAGGTGAACGAACAGGTCCTTATAATTAATTGTGGATAATCTTCCCCCCACACACAGTCTCCCTTGACATTAATGAGCTCATCCACGGACTAATAGATGGGTTTTCCATTTCCTGACACTCTGTCCAACAACCTAAAACCATTGTTTCCACCAACGCCAGCAGAGACCCTCAGGACACAAGACCTGGCTCCCGCTGGAAATCCACTCTGGGGAATAAGGTAAACAGACGCCACACAGCTGGACCAGTTTGCTCTAGTCCCTCCAGCAGTGCCCACACCGCGCATTGCAGCACTCATAGAAGGTAGTCATTGGCTGGTCTGCAGCGCAGGTCTGAAGCTGCATGCAGAAGGCATGAGGATGTTCACATCTGGGACATGGCTCCGCAGTAGAGTCCACGTTCTCCCTGGCAGCTGCTCCACCTAGCAAGTCATCCACTTCTTCCAGCTTTGGATACTTCCCGTTTGTTACTTCACCAGGGATGCTGTGCAGGTTGTGGCAAGTGTTGCAGGCAAAACAGCAGCAGTGCTGTCCCTCCACAATGAGCCCATTCCCACAGCCCTGGCAAAAGAGCAGCATGAAGGCCAGCTCCCACAGACCTTGTACCCCGCCTCCACACACACACACCTCCATTGATTTTTAGAAAGACTAAAAGGAGCCGAAACTGGTTTGCCTCAATGGATAGAGCATCGGCCTGCAGACTGAAAGGTCCCAGGTTCGATTCCAATCAATGGTATGTACTTTGGTTGCAGGCACATCTCCAGTAGGGGGTGTGCAAGAGGCAGCTGATCAATGATTCTCTCTCATTGATGTTTCTACCTCTATCCCTCTCTCTTCCTCTTTGTAAAAAAATCAATAAAATATATTAAAGAAAAAAAGAAAGAATAAAAGGAGGGGAAGAGACAGACAGAGAGACATGGATTGATTGCCTGCCGCATTCGCCCTGACTATGGGGCTGGGAATTGAACCTGCAACCCAGGTACCTGCCCTTGACTGGAATTGAACTCATGACTATCATTGGCCATAGTGGGTAGGGCCATACAAGCCTGTGAAAATTTGGGAATACATAGTCCCCAAGACAGAGGAGTTTGCTCTGTTGGCTCCTGGCACTCCTGTGTCTCTCTTGTTCCACTTTCCTCCCTACCAGAGTTGCCTCCTAAGCCGTATGGCCCTGCTGACCACACCCAATGGACTGACGGCCTGCCGCTGGGACACAAACTCGCTTAGCATGATGCCGGATTGGACTGTGCTCCAACATGCAACAGAAGCTCTGGGCAATGTCTTTAATCCTAGCCCCACTAAGGCCTGAATGGGCTTCTTTTGTGGGGAGATGGAGGAAATGGGACCTTGGAAACTCAGGGATTTAAATCTATGCAAAGAAATGTCACTCATTCTCTTGTGCAAGTCTCAAAAACATTTATTTTTTCTTGTGACATTACAAGAAGCCATTCCCACCCTAGCTGGTTTGGCTCAGTGGATAGAGCGTCAGCCTGTGGGCTAAAGGGTCACAGGTTTGATTCTGGTCAAGGGCACATGCTTGGGTTGCAGGCTGGATCCCCAGTAGGAGGTGGGAGGCTGCCGATCAATGATTCTCTCATTGTTTTTATCTCTCCCTCTCCCTTCCTTTCTCTGAAATCAATAAAAAATATATTAAAAAAAAAAAAGTCACTCCCACCAGCAACAGGTGGGGACCTGGAGAGCAAGCTCCCCACTGCTAACACAATCTCAGAGATCTTCCCACGCTGCTTTTCCTGCCTCCCCAATCTATCACCAGTGGATTTCATGTAACCCTCTATGTCTTTTTTGATTCTGAAGTATAAAATAAATGGTAATACTACAGTTTCCTGCAGCGTGTTTTCAATCTGTTGAGATTTTGCTTCCCAGCAGTTGTCACTTTGGCTCACGTAAACTCATAAAATTTTTCTGCAGGTTTGGATGTTTCTTCCATCTACAATGACAACATTTCTACTGTGTTGCTAGAGTGAAAATTAACATCAACATAAAAAACATTTAAACCTATAGAGAATTTTTGTGAGTTTATTTGAGCTAACCTGTTGACAATTGCCTGGAATCAAAATCTCAACAGACTGAGATAATGTTTCAGAGAATGTCAGTTTTGCACCTTGTTTTATACATTACCATCAAAAGAGAAGACCTAAATGAGTTACCTGAAATCCTTTGGTGATATATTAGGGAGGTGGAAGAAAGAAAATCGGGGAAATCTCTGGGTTTGGAGGAAAAATAATAAGATAGCCGAAACCGGTTTGGCTCAATGGATAGAGCATTGGCTTGGGGATTGAAGGGTCCCGGGTTCGATTTTGGTCAAGGGCATGTACCCAGTAGGGGGTGTGCAAGAGGCAGCTGATCGATGACTCTCTCTCATAGATATTTCTAACTCTCTATCTTTCTCCTTTCCTCTCTGTAAAAAATCAATAAAATATATTAAAAAAAAAAAAAAAAGAAAAGTAACAAGATAGACACATCTTTTACATAGGTGGGTACAGGGTAAAGTCAACAATTAACATGATAACGACAAGGAGGGGAGTAATGGTTTTCTGCCCTAGTGCATTGGTTGTGCCGGGAGAGGCCTGGAGAAAGGGGAATTACCCTGACATTCCCAAGGAATGTCATCATAAATGCGAAAGACAATAGACAAACTTAGTTAAGGTAAGGATTGACTTTTGTCAGGAAGATTGACTATCTGCTAGGAATTGCTTTTCATTAAAAAGTTATAATTTCAGCCGAAGCTGGTTTGGTTCAGTGGATAGAGCATCGGCCTGCGGACTAAAGGGTGCCAGGTTCAGTTCCCGTCAAGGGCGTGTACATTGGTTGCAGGCACATCCCCAGTAGGAGGTGTGCAGGAGGCAGCTGGTCTATGTTTCTAGCTCTCTATCTCTCTCCCTTCCTCTCTGTAAAAAATAAAAAATATATATTAAAAAACATAAAAACAAAAGGTACTGAGCTTTTATCTGAGTTGTTTAAAAAAGTTACATTTTCAGACCATTGTTTGTGGTGACTTTAGGTCTCTGTGTTTGCATGTCTGCCATACAGGCCTTCCCTCAGCTTGTCAGGTTAGCATGTGGCCACTTTTTGTCCACACCAGCGAAGTAAAATGTTTACTTTTTGAATACATAATTCTTCCTAATTACTTAGAATTTTTGTTTTATACTCTTTGAAACGACTCTTTAGATCTACATGTAGATTTTAATCATTTCACTATTATGTATATATCAAAAGTAAAATATGAGTTTAATTCTTAGGGCTCCTTGAAGTTTTCATTCAATTCTTTTGAATCATTTTTCAACACAGAATTGTCAATGCCCATATTTTGTCCTGATTTTTATTTTATTAATGTACTTTTGGATGAAAAGGGGTCACTTACTAATCCAGAGACCTAAAGTAACCACATAGGACATGAGCAGAGCAAGGACAATGGGCCAGGTACAGAAGGGCATCAGGATGGAAAGCCCTAGGTGCCTGGCAACAATCCATTGTAGGGGGGACATCACCCCCAGGGTGACTTTTCCTCTTAGCATATCACTGGTAGGTAGATTTGGGCCCCCTCCCATTTCTTCCTTAGAGGTAACATCTATACCTCAGTTGTATTTCAGCTCCAGGGCCAGAAAAGCAGCAAAACCAGAGCAGTGATCTTGTAGATTCCCTCAGGACCAGCTGCATTGAAAAATGACCCCCCTGCCCTCACATTGACTAACAAATCAGTGGAGACCACAACCAGGAAAGGACACACCTGGAACACTGCTGAATATTCTATTGAGCTCTGCTGGGACCTCCCTAAAATCTCCATCCTTAAAACACTTAAGATGGAGGCTTCAGTGAGATCACTCTCCCAGGAGCACCCCTGCCACATCCCTTCCCCTTCTCCGTCCTTGCCCCAGGCATGTTACCATTAGCTTCCTCACTCTCAAGCTCCTAGGGCCCTTCCTTTGCCTCCATAACACCTTTCTTCTCCTACGAATTACTTTTTCTGCCTCTGTGACTTACCAAGTAAATGTTCTCTTACAGTTTTGTTCTTGGCTCCGAATTTTTTTTTTTTTTAATATATTTTATTAATTTTTTTTTTTTTTTTTTTTTTTAGAGAGGAAGGGAGAGGGATAGAGCTAGAAACGTCGAGAGAGAATCATCCACCAGCTACCTCCTGCACACCCCCTACCAATGTACATGCCCTTGACCGGAATTGAACCTGGGACCTTTCAGTCTGCAGACTGACGCTCTACCACTGAGCAAAACCGGTTTCGGCGGCTCTGAATTCTTTCCTAGCCAAAATATCAAGGTTGCTGAACCCAAGTTTGGTCTGATCCTACGGTACCATTCCCAACGCCTACCACCGGTTGGTCTGAAATTAAGACTTTCTAGCTAAAAGCTGGTCATGGTGGGCAGTCACGTCGTAGGCTAGAATCTTCCCTGACAAAAGTCAATATTTACCTTTACTGAGCCTGTCTAACGTCTTGTATTTTTTAAAAATACATTTTTATTGATTTCAGAGAGGAAGGGAGAGGGAGAGAGCTGGAAACTTCAATGATGAGAATCATTGACTGGCTGCCTCCCGCAAGCTCCCTAGGGGGGATGGATCCAGCAACCAGGGTCTGTGCCTTTGACAGGAATTGAACTTGGGACCCTTCAGTCACAGGCCCTCGCTCTTTCCATTGAGACAAACCAGCTGGGGCTGAAAAGGTTCTTAATAAGGCATCTTATTCATATATAAAATTTTAAGTCCACTAGGGTTTGAAAAGCAGCGTGTGTTCTTCCATCAGGCACTCCTCTGGCTCGCTTTCCTGGCTTATGCGGTTGCACGTGTCACGTAGTTAAAGACCTTTTCTCGCAGAAACCGGTTTGGCTCAGTGGATAGAGCATCGGTTGCAGATTGAAGGGTCCCAGGTTCCAGTCAAAGGCATGTGCATTGGTTGTGGGCGCATCCCCAGTGTGTGTGTGTGTGTGTGTGTGTGTGTGAGGCAGCTGGTCCATGTTTCTAGCTCTCTCTCCCTCTCCATCTCTGTAAAAAAATCAATAAAATATATATATTTTTAAAAAGACCTTTTCTCCATCTTTTGCTCTACATTATGGTGACTGACTCAGCTGTGTCTCCCAGTCCTCCCAGCAAACTCTTCCTTTCACGTTTCACTGAATTAATGGGAGTCTCGGAAAGCTGCCCAACTCCCTTCTCCCGTCGCCCAAGCACCCGCCGCAGGGGGCGGAGTCCAGGGTGACGCTCGAGAAGAGAAGCTGCGCGGCGGGCTGGTCCGCGCGTTCCCGAGAGTGACGCATGACGTCGCCGTGCGTGCGTGCGTGCGTGCGTGCGTGCAGACGGCTGCGTCGGGGTGCAGAGGAAGATGGCGGTCTCCACAGGTCGGTTCTCGGGCCGGGCTGTATGCTTTCGCACTCCGAACCCGGCTCTGCCACTCCGTCTGCTGCTGGCAGCTGGGCGCGACCATGCGGGTGAAGCCGGAGTGCGCCTTCTCGGACGCCGGGCTCCTTGAGGAGCGAAGCCCGCCCCGGGGGAGGGCCGGGCGGGACCGGCGCCAAGGGCCCGGGGCTGCCGTCGGGGGCGCCGGGTTGTGCCTGTGCGGCGGCCGCACGCTCGCGGGTCGGGGCGGGGTGACGCCGGCGCGGGCGCACTCTTGGGGTCCGCGGGCGCCTGTCGGGGTGCGGGCGGGAGGAGAGGCGGCTCTGGGTGGGCGTGCGGGCGGTGCCGGTGGCGGAGCGCCCCGGTGGCGGGGGGTCCGGCTCCCCTGGACCCTCCTGGACGTGTGGAGAGGAGGAGGGGGTTAATGAGCAGAGGACTGTTGCTCTTTTTTGTAATAACAGAAAGATGACCGTTCTTACCTCATTGAATCCAAGTTCTCTCTTTTTCCTTAAGTGGAAAACTGCAGTGCAAACTACACAAAAACTCAGAAGATGAAAGCGAATTGAAGAGAAAGAGGTTTCTTAGATAAGCTGCTCCGCTCCTGTTGTGTCGAATGCAATGTTTGGTTTCCTCTGAGCACAGACTTTGAAATTAAGTTTTTAACGATAAGGTTTTTACAAACTTGACCACTTAAAAAAGTGTTAAATTAAAACATGTTAAATTTGGTTAGGATGTTCATTGGATGTGATCTTTGGAAATCAGATTATAGGATAGTGTTGATTTACTATTTCATGCTTTCATTGCACAATAAAACGAATTTTCAAATTACGTGCCGAAATGGAAGGCTGCAGTGTATTGTGATTGGTACTTTTAAGGTAATACCTCAAGATACATCCTACATACGTCTTAACAGAAAATTGTCTTTTAATTCTCATCTTTATTATGTACAGGTGTCGGATGAGAAGATTTTAACGATTTTAGGGTTGGGGAAATATTTCAGTATATTTTGGGTCAGAGCTAACTAAGAAAGCAAGGGTTATTTAAAAAGTGACGTTTCAGTGTTACAACTCTAATGTATTTGCTATTTGTACTTGAGTGTGCTTGTGAAGGGAGACATATCTTTTTTAGAGTTGTACTTAGTACCTACCTATAGGTTCTTGAAAACTTAGTAATAAAATGGTGCATTTTAATTTGATTGATAGTTTTCACTTTATGGATTGCACTGTTTACTTAAACATGGTTTTTGTCTTACGTAATTCATATGAGAGAAGATATTTTGAAAAGACCAAATACTAGATGATAGTAACAGGCACTTTTTGTTAATCGTGCTTGGTAATTTTTGGAAGTCAATGACACTGGCATGGCAGAGCATCTCTTTGACCAGCCGCCCTGGGAGACTGATGAGAGCTAAGCCTTAGGCTGGCTTTCCATAGCTGCGGGGTGACTTCCCGGTCACCAAGCAATACTGTATGTTAACTTTTTTTAAAAAATATATTTTATTGAATTTTTACAGAGAGGAAGAGAGAGGGATAGAGAGTTAGAAACATCAGTGAGAGAGAATCATCTTATCAGTTGCCTCTTGCACACCCCCTACTGGGGCTGTGCCCGCAACCAAGGTACATGCCCTTGACGGGAATCGAACCCAGGACCTTTCAGTCTGCAGGCCAATGCTCTATCCATTGAGCCAAACCAGTTTCGGCTGCATGTTAACTTTTATCTTTTCTATAACTTGTACCAGATCATCCACTTAGGTCTTTTCATTTGTACCATTCTTTCAAATAAAGTAATTTGGTAACCCACATCCCTATCCAAGTATCTTTGTAAATTCTAAAATGGCTTATTATTAGCCTGTTATACAGAGGAAACCTGCATTTTACAGTTTATATGTAGTCTAATGGTGGCAGTTTCTGCTTTTTAGATTTATGAAATTTGAAACTTAGAATAATAAAAAAGAAAGTATTTTTGGTAGTTGAGTTCTTTTTAACTGAAATTAGTTTTGAAAGTGTTACTAAAAACTTGGTAAGTTTTTAGTATCATTTCATTTATTAATTTTCTGTGCTTTATAGCACTTAAAAGTATTATTGTATTGGTAGAAAGATGAGTGTAGAGAAAGCTTTGGACTGTGTTTTGAAACTTTTTAAGTTTTAAGCTATATTTTGTTTGTTTGCTTTTTGGTAGCAAGGGAAGTAAATAGTACCTCTATATTTGTGAAATAGAAGTGATATAGTGTGAAATTTAAAATTAGATGATTTTGATGTAATATACATTTTTTTATTTAAGTCAAAATAGTCTTTTAATGATTGATTTTAGAGAGAAAAAGGAAGGGGGGGAGAGAGAGAAGAGGAGAGAGAAGAAAAACATCTATTTGTTATTATACTTACTTATGCATTCAGTGGTTGTTTCTATGTATGTGCCCTAACCAGGAATGGAGCCCACAACCTTGATGTATCTGGACCACACTCTAACCAACTGAGCTACCCAGCCATGGCCTAAGTAAAAATAATCTTGATAAAAATAGTTGTTTGATAATAGGCCCAAAAGAAAAAAAAAATCACTTGACAAACATTGTTTCATTTTTATTAAAGCTCTAGAGGCCCAGTGCATGAATTCGTGCACGGGTGGGGTCCAGCCCGTCCTCTCTGATCGGGCAAATTGGGGCTGGGCCTGCCCAGGGAGGGGCCACGGGTGGCCCTGCCCCCTGGTCACACACCCTGTAGAGGGAACAATTTGCATATAAACCTTTTATTATATAGGATTATGTATATTTCAACCCCCCCATGATATGTTTATTGATTTTAGAGGGGGAGGGAAGAAAAGGGAGTGTGTGAGTGAGCTTGTGAAATGTTCACGTGAGAAACACTGATCTATTTATTACCTTTGGTATGCACCTGACTGGGATTGAACCCACAACCTAGGTATATGCCCTGACCAGAACCGAACCTGTACTCTTTTTGGTTTGCCAGAGGATGCTCCAGTCAGCTGAGTCACCCTGCTAGGGCAAGCATTACATTTTAATGTACATTATCTAAACATTTATTTTACCATTCTCGCCAAAACCGGTTTGGCTCAGTGGATAGAATGTTGGCCTGCGGACTGAAAGGTCCCTGGTTCGATTTCGGTCAAGGGCATGTACATTGGTTGCGGGCCCATCCCCAGTAGGGTGTGTGCAGGAGGCAGCTGATCAATGTCTCTCATCGATGTTTCTAGCTCTCTATCCCTCTCCCTTCCTCTCTGTAAAAAATCAATAAAATATATTAAAAAAAGAAAAAGAAAAAAGAAATTATTTATTTTACCATTCTCATAGTTGAAGAAACATTTTGGGAAGAAATTCTAATTGGACTGAGACCTTTAAGCTGAAATATGCTTTTCCATACCAGTTGGTCTTCTTATTTTGCAGATGAGAAAACAGGCTTAATGAATACAAGGTTTTACATAGTTGGTTACTAATGCAAGATTAAAATCCAGGTTTTGTTTTATTCTTAGTCTAGTGTTCTTTCTGTTAGGAGGAACGATTGAATATTCCTCAAATTATGAATCTTACTTCCTGTTAGACTAGAGAGTGGCCTTCATACTTTCCTTCCTAGGAGATTCCACAGGACATACATAACTTAAGGAACACTACCCTAGGGAATAGAATGTAGTGCCTGTCATTCAAAAATTTCATTATAGCCCTAGCCGGTTTGGCTCAGTGGATAGAGCGTTGGCCTGTGGACTGAAGGGTCCCAGGTTCGATTCTGGGCAAGGACATGTGCCTTGGTTGTGGGCATATCCCCAGTGGGGGGGAGGGAGGGTGCAGGAGGCAGCCGATTGATGTTTCTCTCTAATTGATGTTTCTAGCTCTCTATCCCTCTCCTTTCCTCTTTGTAAAAAATCAATAAAATATATTTGAAAAAAATTTCGTTATATCTCAGTAGTAAGTTAGTGTTAGGTTAAAAGGTATATGCAGTACTTTAAAAAAAATAGAATTTTATTGATTTCAGAGAGGAAGGGAGAGAGGGGGAGAGATAGAAACATCAATGATGAGAGAGAATCATTGGTGGGCTGCCTCCTGCATGTTCCCTACTGGGGATCAAGCCTGCAACCCAGGTGTGTGCCCTTGCCCAGAACCAAACCTGGGACCCTTCAGTCCTCAGGCCGACTGTTCTATCCACTGAGCCAAACCAGCTAGGGCTGTGCAATACTTTTTTTTTTTTTTTTTTTTTTTTAACTTTACAGGCATTTTAGATTTATAGGAAAATGAATATAGTATAGAATTCCCTTATGCTTCATAATTGGTTTTATATTATCTTACATTAGTGTAGCACATTTGTCACAATTAATGAACCATAGTGACATACTATTAACCAAAACCTATACTATTAATATATTCAGATTTCCTTAGTTTTTACCTAATGTCCACAATCTGTCCCAGTATCTCATCCAGGATACATTGAAGTATGAAATGTTTTAAAATTATTAGTAGTGTTAAAATGTGATTCTGAATGCAGATGATTTTAAATGTCTTTAAGTAATGAGAGGCTCAGAAAAAAATGGAATATTTTTTTTTTTATATATTTTTTTTTGGTAGTAGGTCTGTGTAAGCCAAATGGGTGGAAAATAAAACTAACTACCCTTTTCAGGAACAGGAATTGTGCTTTAATTCGCCTGCTGCCCCGATAGAGTACTGTGCCATGCTAGGCATACCACTAAATCTCTGAAGCCTTGCTTTCTCCAGACCTTTCAGGCAAGGGTTGGACAACATGATTATGTTTTTCCCATCTTCAAAATGAAGACACTTGGATATATGGGCAGAACTTGGGGGAGTAGTAATAGATGAGATTTACATGTGTAAATCATAACAGAACCTGAGAACTAAATAATAGAAGATCTGAACTATAGCAGCTCCGTGTATTTCCAGCTCGAGACTTTAATAATTTGCCTGTTGGACTTTTCTAGGTTAGGAATCTGGATGCTCTTGATAAATGTTTGATGTTGATAATGTGATTCATCTAGGGGCCCAGTACACAAATTTGTGAACTTTGAAAGGAACTGTGGGCTGTGAAGCTGTGATGGGCACAAGGGCGGGTCTCGGCCCATTCTTCCTGCCCCCACCCTGGTCCCCTGTCTGCTGGCAGCCTCACTCCTGCTACTCGCACCTGCTGATGGCGCGGTAGGTGCGAATGGGACTGATGTGTTGGTGTGAGTGGCAGCAGCCGCCCCACAGGAGCAGGGGGAGGTGGAGAAGCCCTGAGGGGCGATTGGGGCTGGTGCCAGGCACTGGCAGCAGATGTGAGCGGTGGCTCTGGTGCTGGCAGCAGCTCCAGCGCTAGCAGCAAGTGCGAGGGGGGCCGTCATTGGCAGCGGGTGTGAAAGGTGGCTGCTGGCTCCAATCGCCCCTCAGGAGCAGGGGGAGGTAGAGAAGCCCTGAGGGGCGATTGGGGGCTGACAGCTGCTGCTCACTCTTGCTGTCAGGAACGATTGGGGCTGGCACTGGGTGCTTTCAGCGGGTACGAGAGGCAGCTCCAGCGCCAGCAGTGGGTTCAAACAGGGCCAGTGCCCGCAGCAGGTGCGAGTGCCAGGTGGGACTGCGGTGCACGGGAGCAAAGAATTTTCAGTAACCACCAGAGGCTCACCCTGACAGCACTGGTGCCCGCCTTGGTCTGGCATCCCCGCTTACCTGCTCCACCATCCCCCATGGCTGATGCCTGCCATGTTCTGCTCTCTGCTGCCTGCTGCTGACGCCTGCCATGTTCTGCGCTCACCCCCTGGTGGGCAGTGCATGTCACAGCGACCCCTTCGGTGGTTCTGTTCGGTCTATTTGCATATTAGCCTTTTATTATAGTATTAGAGGCCTGGTGCACAGCATTTGTGCACTCAGGGGTGGGGGGCCCTCAGCCTGGCCTTTGCCCTTTCACAGTCCAGGAGCCCATAGGGAGCAGGACTAAGCCGTCTGTTGGACATCCTTGTGCTGCCGTGGAGGCAAGAGTCTCCTGCCATTGCTGTTGCACTTAACAGTCGTCAGCCTGGCTTCTAGCTGAGCAGCACTCCCCCTGCAGGAGCACACTGACCACCAGGGACAGCTCCTGTGTTGAGCGTCTGGCCCCTGGTAGTTAGTGCATGTCATAACGACTGGTCATTCCGCTGTTCAGTCTATTTGCATATTACCCTTTTTATTATATACGATTATATACGATAGTATGATACAACCTTACTATACAAACAGTCCTTCCTTTGCACAGTAGTACAGGGTGGTAAAAATGACCATTCAAACTGAACTTCAAATCAGTTTTATTAAGTGAGAAAAATTATTATTCTGTGACATCTGGAAATGTTTATTAAACCATTAAAAAGTTTTTTGTGTGGTTATAGTGTATTGGAAGTTGACTAAAATAGTAAACATACTTGTTTAATGCACTAAACATTGAGTTAGTGTTTTATTTCTTTATAAACTTCTCAATAGCAGTTTGAACAATGCTTGCCTTTTTCTCCTGATTGTATAACTTATGATGCAGCACAAACATCTTTTCTATGCTTTGATGAATTCTCATATTCCTAAGTTTGGATCAGTTTCCAATATTTTATTCTTTGAGCTTTCAGTGTAAGGAAATCTCTCTCAGTTTATTCTGAAGATTTTTTTTACTTCCTCTGGGACATTGTCATCCTTTCTTTAGAGTCACTTTTCTCATTTACATAAATAATAAATAAACTCAACTATACAAAGTTCTGGATGCTACTCTAGAGTCTCCAACATTCATGTGGTGGGGTATTTATTCTATAACGATTTATATTTGATTCAAATTGCACTTCCAATGTTACTAGTTTTTGTTTCTTTGCTGCACTTTCACCTTTGTGGGCTAATTTTCTTTTTCGGCTATAGTTATAGAATGTCACATGAGTTTACTTACCATTGGTAGACAAGGAGGCAGTACTGCTACATGCCTTGCTGAAGTGAACTGAGTGGCCCATCACCAACAGACTTTGAAAGATGTGAAGTGATTGGCCACTGATAGGATGCTCAACTATTGCTTACGTAGAGATTTGTCGACTGAAGAACTAGCAGTCTGACTTTTTGATTCTAGCTATTGAAATGGTGTGACATAGTATTTCATTGTGGCTTTGGTTTGCATTTCCCTGATGACTAATGATTTTGAACGTCTTTTCATGGGCTTTCTCTACACTGAATGGCCAGATTATTATGGTCTCCGAATACATAATAATCTGGTCACTCATTGTATATCCTATATAATAAAAGGCTAATATGCAAATTGTCCCCTTGATCAACAGGCAGGCCGGCCAACTGCCCATGTCCCCTCCCCCTGGCCAGTTGGCCAGACCCTACCCATGCATGAATTCATGCACTGGACCTCTAATACATACACACACACACACACACACACAGGCCGTATTATTATGCGTTCAGAGATCATAATCTGGCCACTCAGTGTATATCTTCTTTGGAGACATGTCTATTCAGATCCGTAGCTCATTTTTTAAATTAGGTTGTTTGTCTTTTTATTGTTGAGTTGTAAGAGTTCTTTATATATTTCAGATGCAAGTCCCTTATCATTTGTACGTATTTTCCACATTCTGTAGGTTTTTTATTTTCTTGGTGTTATTTGAAATGCAAAAATTTTAAATTTTGATAAAGTCCAAGTCCAATTTATTTCTACTTTATTAGAATGCAAAGTCTTGATTCTGGTATGTAGTTTTGGTTTTTTGTTTTAAAAACATGTTGACATTTATGTAAGTTCTAATTATCTGTTTATGGTTATTTTACATGATTTCCATGTGACAGAGGGGTAGAAGTCTTAAATTCCAGCTGGGTATGAGGTTTAACCTTACATTAAAAAAAATGTTGTATAGCCAGACACCAGGCATACTCCAAGATGATTATTCTTTGTTAAGTATTATAATTATGCCATATATTTTTCAATCTAGTGAAATGTACAAGCAATACATAACTTGGTGTATTATTTTGGTATTCATGCTAGTGTCATCTACCCAAGTGATCAGTTTTGGTTTGCTCTACTGTAGTGATGTAAGTTATTTCCTAAGAGGAAATACTTAAATTATCGAAAGATGTTTTATTTTTTGAAAATGTTTATTTTATAAGCAGTGATTTGGAGGGAAAATATAGACTTATTTTGTTTAATATGGCTTTCTAACTTTGGAAGCTTACTGCAACTTCCAAGACTTAAAGGAGAATAGTTCCACTTATTTAAATGGACTCTGTCAGAAGACCTCACATCTTGTTGAGTGTATGCCACTCCTAATTTTACTTAGAAATTCATACGAGAGCGGAACCAGAGTATATTGTAGCTTACCTAATTTTTGTCTATTCCCTAGTTTGTTTGTAGGGAATTGTCCCTTCTTAGTTCTGAAATAAACATTGTTAGCTGCTTTTCTGGAGAATGATCAATAACTTCTGTATTCTCCCTCGATCAATGAAGTATAAGTGTATGTGAGCAAAATCTTCTGCAGCAATTTATTGTATTGTATTGGAATGTATTTGCTTACATTGTTGTATTCACTCCCCTGGAATGTAATACCTTGGGGAAAGAATTTTTTATGTTTGAAATCAGCAAAACCTGCTACAGGACTTTCAACATAGTGTTGAAAGTTGAAAGTAGCATCTGCCATAAATTCATGAAATGTTTATTGAGTGCCTCTTGTATTGTCATTTTATTATAATACTGTTTCTATGTAACTGACTTAATGAGAAAATAAATAGCTCAAGTAAAACCTAGCTTTTCCCCTTTATATAATGTTTTACTTACAAACTCTGTTTTTAGTTTCCTTTTCTGAAGTGAAACAGTACTAAAAATATTTTATGTTCAGATATATTCATTGACTAAACACCAGCTGAATTAGTATACAACATATAGACTTCTGAATGAATTATTCATATAGTTGTAGACATTTTTGGGAGTAGCTGGGGCAGAGTAGTTTTGGTTGTAATTTAAAAGAGTTCCAATAGCATGATTCATAGTATCCTAAACATAACGTATCCCCCTTACTACAGAATTGAGGTATTTTACAAATCCTCTGGTCCAGAGGTTTTTTCACTTATGTTTGAAGTGTAATACAGATGCTTCAGATGTACAATTTATTATTATTATTATTATTATTATTATTATTGTTGATTTTAGAAAGAGAGGAAGGGAGGGGCGAGAAACAATTTGTTTTTCCACTTATTTGTGCATTCATTGGTTGGTTCTTTTTATAAATTTTTTATTTTTATTTTTAAAAATATATTTTATTGATTTTTTTTACAGAGAGGAAGGGAGAGGGATCGAGAGTTAGAAACATCGATGAGAGAGTTAACAGCGATTCACCTGCCTCCTGCACACTCCTTACTGGGGATGTGCCCCCAACCAAGGTACATGCCCTTGATCAGAATTGAACTTTCAGTCTGCAGGTCATTGCTCTGTCCACTGAGCCAAACTGGTTAGGGCTTATTTTTATTTTTAAATAAAATCATATTGTCCCCTCAACTGGGAGTTTGACCAGGGGGAAGACTCCCGCCTGCAGTCCCTCCCCACTGTACCCCCCCACTGAGCCTGCAACTCGGACGTGTGCCCTGACCAGGAACTGAACTTTGACCTCCTGGTTCATAGGTCAATGCTCAACTACTGAACTACGCTGGTGGCGCAATAGTATTTTTTAATTCTTAAAATAATGGTCCATCATATAGTTGTCATCTTAGATTTGATTAAAAACAATATTTAGAAATGTGTTAAAATATTCACTGAAATGAATATGTAATAGACATAATATCTTTCTCCTCCTAAATAATTCACTGTACTTACTGGAAACCAGGACATTCTCTTACATTATAATAATATAATATTAAAATATAATTATAATAATAATATAATTATAAAAATCAGGAAATTGACATTGATGCAGACTTTTATCTATAGGCCCTATTCAAATTCCTCCAATTTTTTGATTGATGTCCTTTAAAGCAAAATTCTAATAAATTTTTTTTCCTAATGATCCAAGGTTGCATTTGATTGTCCTATCTTTCTAGTCTTCTTTAATCTGGATATCTGCTGACTTTTTAATGCCTTTATTAAATACTAGAGGCCCAAAGCACGAAATTTGTGCAAGAGTAGGCCTTCCTTTTCCTGGCTGCTGGCACCAGCTTCCCTCCAGCTGCCAGGACCCGGGAGTTCCTTCTGGCCGCCAGCAACCCGGACTCTGGCTTCCCTCCGGCTGCTGGCACCAGGCATCCAGGCTTGCCTCCCAGAGGGAGGCTCCACCCACCCACTGCAGCCCACCAGTCAGTGGCCTGGGCCTCTGAGGTATGATGGTGGAGTCCCCAATTGATCACCTTGCTGGCCAGTGGCCTGGGCTTCCCTCTGCAGGGCGAACATGGGGTGATGGCTGGGCCCCTGACCAATCTCATCTGTCTTGGCTGGCCTGGCACCAGTGGGTGTCATAATGTAGGCCCAGATGGTCTTTCCGTTGTTTGGCCATTCAATCGATTTGCATCTTATGCTTTTATTCTATAGGGTTAGAGACCCAGTGTATGAAATTTGTGCCCTCGGAGGGGGGGCGGTGTTTCAGTCTGGCCTGCGCCCTCTCACAGTCCAGGAGCCCTCAGTGGATGTCGGATTTAGGCCCACATCCATAAGTGACACATTTAGGAGGCGGAGTCAGTGAGCACCAAAGCCCCACTGAAGGCCTGCACCATAAGCCTGTCTCCAGCGCAGCAGTTTTTCCATTATAGACACAGCGGGTCCTCACAGCCAATTGGCCTAGAGGTCTATTCCTCCTGTGTACCAATAGCAATCAAGGCTTTACTACACCAAGACTTTGCACTCAGCCCACAAAGGGGTGCACCAAGAGCAACCACCTTGGGTGATTGGGGAAGCTGAGTTACTGGCCCCTATAGGTCACCTACCACACAAAGCCACTCCATCAACACAGGGAGGCAAACAAAATGCGGAGACACAGAAGCATGTCATGAATGGGAGAGATGGAGGAAATTCAACTACTGGAGGACACAGTTCAGAATCACATTTATAAAGTTACTCAAGAATCTAAAAACTGCCGAGACCGGTTTGGCTCAATGGATAGAGCGTCGGCTTGGGGACTGAAGGGTCCCGGGTTCGATTCTGGTCAAGGGCATGTACCGTGGTTGCGGGAATATCCCCAGTAGGGGGTGTGCAGGAGGCGACTGATCGATGACTCACTCTCATCGATGTTTCTAACTATCTCTCTCCCTTCCTCTCTGTACAAAAATCAATAAAATATATTTTAAAAAAAATCTAAAAACTGCTGAGAAACTTGAGACTTTCAAGGACCATTTGGTTGATTTGCATATTAGGCTTTTATTGTATAGAATTACTGTTTACAGTCAATACTTTTGTATTAGTTTCAGGTGTACAGTGTAGTGGTTAGACAGTCATACTTTACAAGATCTTCCCACTGTATTTCCTGTACTCACCTGGCAATATATATCCTATATAATAAAAGACTAATATTCAAATTGTCCCCTCAACTGGGAGCTTGACCAGGGGGAAGATTCCTGTCTGCAGCCCCTCCCCCCTGCTGGCCCCACTCCTGATTGGGCCTCCCATCCCAATTGGGTGGGGCCAACCAGCCAACCACCCACAGCCTCTCCACTGGCCGGCCCTGATTGGGCAGGCCAGCTGGACCCCACCTCTGTACGAATTTGTGCGCTGGGCTTCTAGTAGTTATAATATCACTAGAGGCCTTATGTACGAAATTCATGCAAGAGAAGGCCTTCCTTTCCCCAGCTGCCAGCACCAGCTTCCCTCCGGGACTTGGGCTCCCCTCCGGCTGCTGGCACCAGGGGCCCCGGACTTCCCTTGCAGAGGGAGGCCCTGCCCACCTGCTGCAGCCCGTCAGTCAGTGGTCTGGGCCTCCGTCTACAGGCGATGGCCGGGCCCCTGACCAATTGCATTGCACCCGTGTTGACTAGCCTGGCGCCAATGGGCGTCATAGCGTGGTTCCTGGTGGTCTGGACGGCCATCCCACTGTTCGGCCATTTGGTCAATTTGCATATTACACTTATATAGGATTGACTATATTCCCTATGTTGTACTTTCCATCATGTGACTATTTTGTAAATACCAATTTGTACTTCTTAAACCTTTTACCTTTTCCACCTAGTCTTTCCACTCCTGTATACTCAGGCAACCATCAGTCTGTCCTCTAGCTATAAGTCTGTTTCAGTTTTGTTTGTTTATTTTGGTCATTAGATTCCACAATTAAGTGAAATATGGTATTTTTTTTCCTTTTGACTGACTGACTTTACTTAGCATAATACACTCTAGGCTCACAACAAATATGTATGTATTTTAATATATTTTATTGATTTTTTTTTTTTCCACAAAGAGAAAGGGAGAGGGATAAAAAGTTAGAAATATTGATCAGCTGCCTCAATATTGATCAGCTGCCCCGAAACCAAGGTACATGCCCTTGACTGGAATCGAACCCAGGACCTTTCAGTCCACAGGCTGACGCTCTGTCCACTGAGCCAAACCGGTTAGGGAATAATGACTACTTCTGTTTTAGGGATTTATAACAGCTCCATATCTCTGTGGCCCAAGGTTTTCAAGTTTGTTTTTTTTTATGAAGCGCAGAATGTAAAGTGGTTAGTATTTTTGTTTTAAGTTACAGTACTTACTACCCTGTTTCCCTGAAAATAAGACAGTGTCTTATATTAATTTTTGCTCCCAACGATGCACTAGGTCTTATTTTCAGGGGATGTCTTATTTTTCCATGAAGAAGAATATGGTACACATTTATTGTTAAATAAAAATAAAGAAAATTTATTACCTGTATATGGTACGGTAGTACAGTAGTTGTCAACACAAACCAGACAAACTGTGAATCCTACAGTATCAAGAATTTACTCATTTATTCGATGACAATCATGTCATCTTCTGGAACATCATCATAACAATCCAATTTCTGAATTTCCTGGTGAATTTCTTGTGACTCCATTTCTTTAAGAATCAGTGGACCGGCCGAGACCTGTTTGGCTCAGTGGATAGGGCGTTGGCTTGGGGACTGAGGGGTCCCGGGTTCGATTCTGGTCAAGGGCATGTACCTTGGTTGTGGGCACATCCTCAGTGGGGGGTGTGCAGGAGGCAGCTGATCGATGACTCTCTCTCATTGATGTTTCTAAACTATCTCCCTTCCTCTCTGTACAAAATCAATAAAATATATTTAAAAAAAAAATCAGTGGACCAAATCTCTCATGTTTAGCCTAGGGGGAGCCTTTTTTTCAGGGGATGCCTTATATTTCACTCAGAAGGAAACCTGTAAGTAGGTCTTATTTTCGGAGGATGTCTTATTTTCGGGGAAACACAGTAGCTTTTGATTATATGTCGAAATATTACTATAAATTAGTAGGTGAAAGAGATTTTGATTTCAGCAAGAGACAGAAGTTATACAAAATCACTTCTTTTTTTTGTGCTTTATTGCTTGTATGTGTGCGCATGAGAGAGTGAGAGTGTGAGTTTGTGCTCCTGCCTGAGCCAGAGGCAAGGTTTTTTCAGGACTTGTGCAGTGAGGCTAGAGGGTGTTTCATGTGAGATGCTGTTGTGAACAGAGAAAACTATAGATTCTATTTTTTTGGAGGGGTTAGGTCAGTACTCTTAGGAAAGTTTGTGATAAATTGGAAGAATCGGGGTTTGATTCCAGGGATTAGAAGTTAATGGCAAAGACCAGGTTTAGTGAAAATGAGGGAGTGGGAAACAGAAAGGCTAGGAGAATCTAAGCAGAAAGGAAGGTTTTTGTGTTAAGATTTCAGAATTTGTAAGGAGTGATGGAGTTAAAGCTAGAAACTGGAGGTATCAGAAAGGTTTGTAGATTGTGTAAACTTGCCAGGGTTTGGGCAAAGAGGTGCAGGGCACGTCCTAGGAAATTGCTATATCCATTGGAAATGAGCTGGGAGAGAGAGGACTCCATAGATTAGGGATGAGAACCGGAAAGACTAACTGGGGACCATGGGTGGGGCTGCTTTAGCATATTCTAGAAAATAGTACCTCTTAGTACATTTTAAAAGATGGACATCATTCTTTAAAAGTCATTAGAGAAGAATATATATTAATAAAATCGAACTTTCGTAAACTTCTGGTCATGTCCATTTTGTTCTTGGCTAGGAACAAAAACTCAACTATTTAATAATAATTTTTGATGATTAATTTATGTCAGTATGGAATTGACTAATTAGGAATTTATTTACATGTTCTGTACTATTAATATTGGTACAGTGCTTTCTGTAGCGTTTTCATTTTGAAAGGTTATTAGATTCAAAATTTTCTGGAGCAGAATCTTTTTTCAGAAGAAATTTTGCTTTTTGGGGAAATAATTTATAAAGGTTAATTTGGAAAATGCTGAAATTGAATATGTGTAGCTCTTATAATTATGAGCTTTTTGCATTTACATTGACATTCTTTTGTATAGGAGTTAAAGTTCCTCGTAATTTTCGCTTGTTGGAAGAACTTGAAGAAGGACAAAAAGGAGTAGGCGATGGTACGGTTAGCTGGGGCCTTGAAGATGATGAAGATATGACACTTACAAGGTGGACAGGCATGATTATTGGGCCACCAAGGGTCAGTGCTATAAATTACATATTCTTATTGATATTTATATCCACTTTAAGCATTTTATTTTACAATATATTAAATAAATATGATAAATTCTAACTGAAACAATTATTCCCTTTTTATTTTGTATACATTTACTGATGCTACCATTGTGCACAATATGATACTTGATTTTCTGCAGAATTGGGGGGAAAAGATTGATAGTCATTGCTAGCAAAGTGTTTGCAGTTTAGTAAAGAAGAAAAAATAAATGTAAATGACAGACTCTAAATATGGCAGAGAAAGATCACTATGGGACTTCAGAATATGTTTCTTCTAGCTGGAATAATTGAGGAAGGCTGAACAGTGGAGGAAGTTGCCTTTGGAATGAGCCTTAAAGAACTGACTGGTAGGATTTCAGAAGGTGGTGATGGGGATGGAGAACATTCCAGATAGAGAGGAGAAAAGGTGAGGAAATGGAGGGGTTATTTGGGAAGAGCAAACACTGTGTTTTGACATAATATATTACTAACTCACTATGTGTAACCAATCATTTCTAAATTGATTTCTTTTGAGAGCACATTGCTATCTGCTTTGTGATATTTGACTTGCCATGCAAATGCTATAGGCCTCAGATTCTTCATTTATAAAATATATTGAACTATGATTCTTGAATATTTTCTTGTGATGTTGGGAACAGGCCCATTGTTCTTTATTCTTAGGTCTTTCTGAATTTTTAAAGTCTTTGTGAATTTTTCTTTTTACTCAAAATATTTTCAGATTGGGATTTTTTTTTTTCTACTCTGCATTTCTTATTCAAAGGTCCCATTTATTGCACTCCCTGCAACGAGTCTTTGAAATAAATATTGTATAATATTTTGACTTGCTGGGAAAAACAAAAATTTAAGGTGTTTTTTTTTCTCACTCTGGTTTTGTATACTTTTTGCTACCTTGCAAACTGAACATTTAACCTATTTTCCAGTTGGCTAGAGTTTAAATTTCCTGTTGATTATTATAAAAGAAAAATGGATCAGGTAATTAGCATTGTTAAATTTAAAGAATTAATTAATTAATGTTTTATATTTTCTGATATTTTTTTGCAAATTTATATACACTACTACACTAACAAATGTCCCCCCACCCGCCAATGCTCTGATTTTTTCCCCCATAAGACTTTTGAAGAAGGAAATATGATACTGTTGATTAGAATTTTTATGTTTTTTATAACTTGGTATTTATAATGAAAACTTTGATTTTCACTGCCTGTGAATATTATTACATTACCATGGTCTGTCTGGTAAAAAAAAACCACACAAAAAAAAGTGCTTATAACTTATAAGCAATCTTTCTGAATGAATAGTTTGAGATGGTCTGAACTTGATGGAGTATAAATTTCAAAAAAAAATTTTGTAAGTTTATCCTCACCTGAGGATATTTTTCCATTGATTTTTAGAGAGAGTGGAAGGGACACGGAGAGACTGGGAGAGGGTAACATCGATGTGAGAGACACATTGATTGGTTGCCTCCCACATGCACCCCCACCAGGGCTGGGGATTGAGCCTACAGCTGAAGTATGTGCCCTTGACTGGAATTGAACCTGGGACTCTCTAGTCTGTGAGCTGACGCTCTATCCACTGAACCACTACCTCCAGTGAACTTTAAACTTGAAGAATGTTTTGGAGCTTATGTGAAAGTTCCTCAGTAATTTTTGTGGGCTTTTCAAAGCATAGTTTGCAAATGTGGAGGAACAAACAGCTCCTGCCTGATCTCCTGAGGCCACCAGCAGGACTCTCCAAGTTGGTGTCAGAACTGCAGGGAACTCCCATGTCTAGGCCGCTAGGGCGTGCCCAGTGCGGGAGGGAGTGCAAACACTTTTCTAGCTTGTGGGGAGGGTAGAGCCTGCTCAGCAAGCGGGGAACACACAAACCAATGCTGCTGACTGCCAGGCCAGGCTCTCTTCAGTGAGTCCTCTGCTTTCAGTTAGTCTTTGAGCACCCTCTCACTCTGGTGCCAGGACAGGGTTGAGGGAGGACCTTGCAGTGGTACAGAACTCCTCCTAAGCCAGACTATTGAGCACACATTAATTATCTGCCTTGCATCCTCTTTCAAGTTATCTCCCTCACCGAGGCACATGGGACTGAGTGAAGGTGAGTGGTCACAGTACTCATTTGCCATTTTTTTTTTATTTTTTTTTTAAATATATTTTATTGATTTTTCAGAGAGAGGGATAGAGAGTTAGAAACATCAATGAGAGAGAATCATTGATCAGCTGCCTCTTGTTGCCCGCAACCAAGGTACATGCCCTTGACCGGAATCGAACCCGGGACCTTCCAGTCCGCAGGCCGATGCTCTATCCACTGAGCCAAACCGGTCCCGGCTCATTTGCCATTTAATAAAACTTGCTGAGATTGGTGTCTCATCTTAGTTTTCTGTTTAGAAGGTGCCATATTTAGAGCAATTTTGTCCGCAGCTTTAGCTGTCTACATTCAGCCAGGCTAATAGGAAAATTCTTACCTCAACATACTGTAACTTGGTTAGCTATTTTTCTGTTTGTTAGTTTGTTTTTTGCTACTGCTTAAGATTACTGTTTGTGTGTGTGTGTGTATGTGTGTTAGTTACTCCAGTATCTGGATTTATATGATTATCAACTTTGTTTTTTGATATATTTGTGTGTCAATTTTCTGAAGCAGTACTTTTTAGCATTAGAGGTTTAGTTACTTTTCCTTATATATATGTTTCTTTCTATGTAACTGGAGATACTATATCCATCTTTAGAAATTTTGAGAATTAAATGAATTAATAATTAGACAACAGGAGAGTATCTGACTATAGTACATTCTTTTAAAAAATATTTTTATTCATTTCAATTCATAAACAGAATTGTCTTGGACAAGAGAGAGAAGAGAGAGAGAGAGAGAGAGAGAGAGAGAGAGAGAGAGAGACAGAGAAAGAGAGAGAGACAGAGAGACAGAGACATCAATGAGGAGAGAGAATCATTGATTGACTGCCTCCTGCACCCCCTCCATTGGGGATCGAGCCAGCAACCTGGGCATGTGCCCTGACCAGGAATTGAACCATGACCTCTTAGATCATAGATGGATTCTCAGTCACTGAGCCACGCTAGCTGGGCATTCTTAATAAATCTTAGTTTCTTTTATTACTTCTATTTCATTTCATTCTTTTGTTAGATAATAGAAAGGTTTGGTTGTTAATTTAAAAGAAATTAATTGAAAAGGAAAATTAGCCCAGGATATCAAAAGTTAGTATGATCTTTATTCTGAGCACTGAATTAGATGAATAGTTTTTTTATTTTAGAAAAATTTGAGCTGTGATGTACATATAATGAAATACATACCATTAGTTTTGACAAATGTACTTTGTTAGCCACATGCTTATCAAGATAGAGAACAATTCTATTACCCTAGAAAGTTCTCTGTGTCTCTTCCCATCTTCATCCCCACCCTGCTTTGTGCGCCCTAGAATCGTTTTGACTGTTGTAAAACTTGGTGTAAGTGATTTGTGTTTTTCCATGTAGTAGTAGTGTTTCTTTTTATTACTGAGTACTATTTTACTTTACTGATATACTATAGTATGTTTATCAGTTCTCCTGTTCCTGGGTGTTTGGGTTTTATCCGCTTTCTGGCTATTACAAATAAAATTACTATGAGCATTCTTCACATGTCTTTTTGTAAACATATGTTTGTCTTCATTTCTTCTGTTTAAAATGCCTAGGTATGAAATTGCTAATTCATAGGGTAGGTGTATGCCTATCTCTATAAGAAAATGCCAAAAAAAGAAAGAAAGAAAATGCCAACTTGTTTACAAAATGGTTGTATGAGAGTTCTGGTTGTTTCCACATACCTTGAGTACCTTTAACATTATGGTTTTTGGGGGGTGTCTATTATTATTATCATTATTTTTTAAATACAAGTTTTTAGAGAGACTGATGTGTATTCAGATTGGAGAACCACAGACTAGATGATTTCCTTGAGATCTGTCTGGTATTAGTCCTTTGTATACATATAAAAAGTGTTGGTCATATTAATATATTTACCATTAAACTGTGATGAGTTTTATACAGCTGTTTCTTTTGTAAAATATTGAAATATTTAACATTAAAAATGAATGTTGCATCCGTTTTAAACTACAGTAGCTTAATATCCAAGATCTGATCTCCTCTTGGATACTATATCCATCTTTAGAAATTTTGGGGAAGGAAGTTTTGCTAAGTGAAATCTGTAGATGGTTGGTTAGCTACTCCCCTCTCCCCCAAGTTTATTGTAGAAAACAACAGGCATTACATTTGTTTCTTCCACTTATTTTTCATTTTTATATTTTAATTGTATGCCAATAAGTTAACCAAGTGAACAAGTCATAAGGATAAAGAAGAGTTAATTATAGGTATGAAATATCAGACAGGAGTAATCTAGAACCATTAAGTCTGGTAGCATTAAAATGGCTTTTTTATAGTATGGTTATGTTAAATTTCTCAAGAAACTGTATTTTAAAATGACGTGGAAACAAAGTTTTCTCTAACTAATGAGGCATGAAATACTGTTTTCTCACTGTAATATGGTATAATACGTATAGTGGGGGTTTTTTGCTAGAAGTTATTGATTGCCCTATAAGTGGGATAACCATATAATTTATTGTCCAACCAGATTGTTTTGAAGATGAAAAGAAGCACTATTAATATTAATACTGGAACAATAGGAATAAACAGAATTGTCTTGGACAAGTGGGAACTTTTATATGTGTGTGACATAGTCAGGTAGTCTCTCCTCCATAACGTAAACTTCTTAGTAAAATCTGAATTTAAGTGGTTTGATTTTTGCTTTAATTTTATTATAGGCATTGCCTGTATCATAAAAAGTGAGTTCTGATCATTTTGATATGGCTGTACATAATTATTTTATAAAATCTCTGCTTTTTCTCTACTTTTAAATATACTTTCTGCAGTTTATTCTACCAGTAGGTCAAATGAATGTACAAAGTAAATTCTTGATTACATACACAATAATATCAAGTACTTTCCCTCTTTAGTAGCACTTGAATATTATTTTTATTATTTTTTTGCCTTTCAGACAAATTATGAAAACAGAATATATAGCCTGAAAGTAGAATGTGGACCTAAATACCCAGAAGCTCCTCCATCAGTTAGATTTGTAACCAAAATTAATATGAATGGAATAAATAATTCCAGTGGAATGGTAAGTTAAAGTACTCATTTTATTCTTTTATAACTTATACTACAGGCTCAGTGCATGAAAATTCATGCAATAGGAGAGAGGAGGTCCCGTCAGACCGGCCTCTCTCCTCTCACAGTCCGGGAGCCCTCAGGGACGGGAGGCTGCCCAGCGATCAGGGGAAGGCAGTGCTCCATCACACCTCCCCTTTCCATCATTTCTTAGAGGTAGTCCTATTTTGAATTTGCTATTTTAATTTCTGCACATGATTGTTGTACTTTTAGTATGCCCGTGTGTATGTGTTCCTCTATATTGTGTGATTTTGTGTAGAATCACGTCAGTGTTTTTTAAGATTCATCCATGGTGAGTCATGCATATTAGATTGTTTCTTTTTATTGTTTAGTATTCCATTTTTTATTTGCTGGGCATTTAGGTTTTTTTCCCCAGTTTGCTTTGAAAAAATTGTACAAATGTTTTAGTGCTTTAAGGCAGTATAGTACTTCTTTGGAACTAGTATTTACTTATTGGTTCTAATGTTGTAGAGAAAAATTTTGTAAAATATAAAATTGAATTACTAGAAAAATGAAATAAAAAAGGCAAAATGCAAGCTCTGATTAAAAAAAAAAATGTCTCTGTCATATTGCTGTAGAACTCTCTAGACACCTACTCTCAATCCCTATGTTTATCTTGTCATGGACTAGTAAAAGCCAGTTCAAGGCCTGGCACTGTTCTATGGAACATACTTTGAGGAGCACTTTTCCAGTGCATATACTTAGAAGTAGGATGTCTCCTGAGGTGTGAGGCTTTTCTTCAGCTTGATTAAATATGGCCAAGTTGCTTTCCACAGGGCTATGTCCATGTCTGTCCCACTCGACCCTATGAATGTACATTCCCACCAATATTTCATAATGGGGATTTGAAAACAGTAAAGTAAATACTGACTCTAATTATTGGAGTGTAGGTGTGTGTGTGTAGAATATTGAGATAGAGTGGAAATATTGGACATGAGTTTTTCTCTTGATTGATATCTAAGAACATAAATTACTTTATAACTAGTAAATAGTAGGGGATTTCACATTGACCATTAATGATTGTGCCAGGCTAATTTTATATAGTTCGAGGTTATTTACATACCATATGAATTATGGGTGTTGCTTTAGTCATTTGGGTTTAAATTTACTTAACACAACTAGTAAGAATTATTTCTTAGGGGTGGTCGGCATTGCAAAGCATCAATTATAGTGCTTTATCTTGTGAGGTCTCAACTTTTGGAGGCTATTGTATATTATAGACTGATAAGATGCAGATTTGTTCTGACATGATATTTATTTTCCCATGCCCTTTGCTCCCTCCGCCCTTTTCATTAATTTTTGTCCCCAAATTTTTATGCATTCTGTTGGTACTTTATAGGATTTGCAACCACTTATGTTTATTTAACTGTCTTTTAACTTTACAGCTGGAAGTGTTTGTTTCTGCTTTGGAAAGAACTTGGTATTCTCAATTTGTTTTATAAACTTGTTCACTGATGGAGTCTATTTATATAGGCTAATGGAGTTGCTACTCTTAAAGCATTAGAGGAAGCATTTTAAATATATCTTAACATTGTTTCAATTACCTGTCAGAAATTAGAAAAAAAATTCTCTTCTATTTTTTTTATAAATACGTTTTTATTGATTTTTAGAAAGAGAGAGGAAGGTGGAAGAAGAGAGAGAGATAGAATTATTGATGAGCTTCCTCTTGCATGGCTTCTATTGGGATTGAGCCTGAAACCCAGGCATGTGCCCTTACTGGAAATCGAACTGGAAGCCTCTTGGTTCCTGGGTTGACGCTCAACTACTGAGCCACACCGGGAAGGCTCTTTCCTATTTTTAAAGAGTTTTATTGTTATATGATTTACATGCCATACAATTCAGTCATTGAAAGTATAATTTAATGTTTTTTTTAGTGTCCACTTGGTTTTGGACCTATTACCAAAATCCAGTTTTAACACATTTGTGTCGTTCTCAAAGCAAATCTTTTTCCCATTAGTTGTAACTTTCCCCCTCTCTTCCTCCACACTAAACAACCACTGAATTACTTTCTTTGTAGATTTGCCTATTCTGAGCTTTGTGTATAAATGGAATTATAAAATACACTGTCTTTTTTTTTTTTTTTAATGTTTTTTGTTGATTTTTCACAGAGAGGAAGGGAGAGAGATAGCTAGAAATGTTGATGAGAGAGAAACATCGACCAGCTGCCTCCTGCACACCCCCCACTGGGGTTGTGCCCGCAACCCAGGCACATGCCCTTGGCTGGAATCGAACCTGGGACCCTTCAGTCCGCAGACCGACGCTCAACCACTGAGCCAAACCGGTTTCAGCTGGATCTACTTTTGTTCATCAGTTTATGTTATTCATTATATTCCACAAATGAGTGAGATCTTTATCTTTCTCCCACTGGCTTATTTTGCTTAGCATAGCAAAAGAAACTTTCTCCAGTTCCATCCATGTTGTTTGCAAATGTTGAAAGTTCCTTCTTTTTTATAGCGGCATAGTACTATAGTACATAGTGGCTGCACCAGTCTGCATTCCCACCAGCAGTGCAGGAGGGTTCCTTTTTCTCCACATCCTCACCAGCACCTGTTTTTTGGTTTGTTGATGACAGCCATTCTGACAGGTGATGCTATCACATTGTTGTTTTAATTTGCATCTCTCGGATGATTAATGATTTTGAGCATGTTTTCATATGTATGTCTCTCGTCCTTCTGTATGTCCTCTTTCAAAAAGTGTCTATTTACATCCTTTGACCATTTTTTGATTGGGTTGTTTATCTTCCTTTTGTTAAGTTGTATGAGTTCCCTATAAGTTTTAGAGATTAAACCCTTATCGGATGTAACATTGGCAAATATATTCTCCCATGAAATGGGTTCTCTTGTTGTTTTGTTGGTAGTTTCTTTTGCTATGCAGAAGCTTTTTTTTTTTTTTTTTTTTTTTTTTAAGTTTATTGATTTTTTAGAGAGGAAGGGAGAGAAATAGAGAGCTAGAAACGTTGACGAGAGAGAAACATTGACCAGCTGCCTCCTGCACATCCCCCACCGGGGATGTGCCTGCAACCAATGTACATGCCTCTGACCGGAATCGAACCTGGGACCCTTCAGTCTGCAGACCAATGCTCTACCACTGAGCCAAACCGGTTTCGGCGCTATGCAGAAGCTTTTTATTATAATGAAGTCCGATTTGTTTATTTTCTCCTTAGTTTCCTTTGCCTTAGGAAATGAGATGTCTGAGATTTTAATGCCTATGTTTTCTTCTAAGATTTTTATGGTTTCATGCTTTACATTAAAGCCATTTACCCACCTTGAGTTTATTCTTGTGTGTGGTCTATTAAGTTGGTGGTCTATTTTTATTTTTTTGCATATGCCTGTCCAGTTTTCCCAACACCATTTATAGAAGAGACTGTCTTGACTCCATTGTATGTTCTTGTCTCCTTTGACAAATATTAATTGAGCAAAAGGCTTGGGTTGATTTCTGGATTCTGTTCTGTTCTGTTCCATTGGTCTTTATGCCTGTTCTACCAGTACCAGGCTGTTTTGGTTATAATGGCTTTGTAGTATAGTTTGATATCTGGGATTGTGATCCCTTCTACTTCGTTCTTCTGTCTCTAGATTGCTGTAGGTATTTGAGGTCTTTCATGGTTCCATATAAATTTTTGGAGTATTTGTTCTATCTCTGAAGTATGCATTGGTATTTTAATAGGGATTACATTGAATCTGTAGATTGCTTTGGGTAGTATAGGCATTTTAATGATGTTAATTCTTCCAATCCATGAACATTTGTTTGTATCTTCCTGTATTTCTTTTTGCACTGTCCTATAATTTTCCAAGCACAGGTCTTTTACTCCTTGGTTAAGTTTATTCTAAAGTATCTTTTTGTTGTTGTTGTTGTTGTTGTTTTTGTTGCAATGGCAAATGGGATTGCTTTTTTAGTTTCTCTTTCTGCAAGTCTATTATTGGTATATAAAAATGCCATTGATTTGTGGATGTTGATTTTGTATCCTACTACCTTGCTGAATTCATTTATTAAGTCTAGTAGTTGTTTGGTAGAGTCTTTAGGGTTTTCTATGTATGACGTCATGTCACCTATGATAATGATAGTTTTACTTCTTTCCAATCTGAATGCCTTTTATCCCTTCTTATCTGATTAGGCTAGGACTTCCAGTACTGTCTATATAATATATAAAAGCCTAAGCAACTTCCGAACATTCTACTGGTAGCTATGACATGCACTGACCACCATGGGCAGATGCTGAATGCTCAGGCATGGAAACATGGAACAGACTGATGAATCTCAGAGGAGAGGAAGAAGCAGAGAAGGTGGAAGTTCATATAAGATGAACCAAAGATCTTTTATGCATACTAGAGGCCCAGTGTGTGGATTCTTGCACTGGTTGGGTCCCTTGGCCTGTCCTGTGGAAATCAGGCCTAAACCGGCAGTCAGACGTCCTCTGAGGGTCCCCGGATTGTGAGAAGGTGCAGGCCAGGCTCAGGGACCCCTCGTGCATCGGCCTTTAGTATTGAATAAGAGTGGTTAAAGTGGACATCCTTGTCTTGTTCCTCTTCCTGTGGGAAACACTTTGTTTTTCCCACTGAGTATTATGTTGGCTGTAGATTTGTTGTATATGGCTTTTATTATGTTTAGGTCTGATTCCTCTATTCTCTCTTTTCTGAAAGTTTTTTTTTTAATCAAAAAAGGGTGTTGAGTTTTGTTGAATGCTTTTTCTGCATTATTGATACGATCATGTGGTTTTTATCTTTCAATTTGTTTATGTGATGTATCACATTTATTGATATGCAAATATTGTACCAATCTTGCATCCCTGGAAAAATTTTACTTGATCATGGTGTATGATCTTTTTGATGAATCCAATTTGCTAATATTTTGTTGAGGATTTTAGCATCTGTGTTCATCAGTAATATTACCTGTAGTTTTTTTTTTTTCTGTGTAGTATTTTTATCTGGTTTTGCAATTAGGATAATGTTGGCTTGG